ACTATGAAAAACTTCACTAAAGAAATTTTAACTAAATTATAGATTTCCCCTTTATGTTTCATAAATTATATTCTGCTCCCCGAGATTTATATTCGCATAACAACTTAACCCTTACTGTTAACTAAACATTAAGAATGGTCAGCTGACATCACCAAAATATAAATTGATGGACGATACTGCTCCTACTGAAATCTTTTTGATAAATTAACAAAATTTACAAAAGAATTACATTAGATGAGAAAAAAATTAAGTTTTTGAAACCATATTTGATTTGTTGTTTAGAAGAAAAAAAAATTAGAATTTTAAAAAATAAATAAAAACTAATATAATAAAAATAAATATGAAAAAATATATTTAATTTGTAAAAATTATTTCTGAACACTCAAAAGATATAATTATATAAAAATAATAATCTACCCGTTTAGTTTTGATTTTCAGAAAATTCTACTTTTATATTTTCTGTATTTCAATGAATTTTTTTAATATTTTAAGAAATTTTTTTTAAAAAAATTTTACACACACCCAACGTAAATACACTTAAAAATTATACTATTTTTGGAAAAAAATCTTTAAAAAATTCATTAAATACCAAAAAAAAATTAAAAAAAAATACAAAAATTCAGTACATTTTTCGTATTTTTGTATATTTATTAATTTTTTAAAATATTTTTTCACAAATATTTTACTATTTAGATATTATACTATTTTTGGAAAAAAATCTTTAAAAAATTCATTAAATACCAAAAAAAATTAAAAAAAATACAAAAATTCAGTACATTTTTCGTATTTTTGTATATTTATTAATTTTTTAAAATATTTTTTCACAAATATTTTACTATTTAGATACATGTAAGTAAGGTGCATTTAAAAAAGGTAAAAAAAATGCTTAAAATTTATAATATTCACTAAAAATAAGAAATAAAATAGGAAAAACAGAAAACTCATTTTTCAAAAAACTGAATTTAGAAAACTGAAACCAAACACACTGAATTATTTTTTATTTTTTATTTCTTAACCAAATTAATTTTAAATTTTTTTAAAAATAAATTTCTAAAAATCAAACCAAACATATTCTAAGAATTTTTTGACAAGTCATTTCTTGTATTTTTAACTTATTTAATTATTTGTTAATTTTATGATATTTTTACAATCTGACACTACAACATATAAGAGATTTAGAGACCAATTTTTTTATCTTTAGAAGTAAAAATTTTGTTACAAAAGACATTTAGGGACTAATTTCTATCATCGTGACAGTGGTCGCTAAAAGGTCACCCTGAAAAGTCAAAAATAAGACTTTTAGCGATAAAATTTTGAAAATGTCTATAATAACTAGACTTTTAAGGACAAAATAATTTGGTCTCAAAATGGTTTATTTTTTTAGAAAAAAAAATTTGATACCAAAAAGATAATAATTAATGACTAATATTCAATTTTCGTTGCTAAAAATATAATTACGACATTTTTTGTAACAAAAATATTTGTTCCCCTAAAAATAATTTTGTCCCTAAATTTTGGTCTCTATAGCCGTAATTTTTTGTAGTGTGATAAGTGTTTCCATTTTAATTTTGCATTTCATAACTTATTTAAAAATGATAATTTAGCTAAACCTCAGGGGGAATCTGTAATTTAGCTAAACCTCAAGGGAATCTATAATTTAGCTAAATCTCAAGGGGTGTAGGTAATTTGCCCTTACTTCTTAAAAGGGCATTTTAGTCAATTTATGATATCCGTTAACGGCGTTAATTGCAATGGGCAGGATTTAATTTTTGAAACCTTAGGGGGAAATCTATAATTTTGTTAAACCTTAAGGGATGTGTAGGTAATTTGCCCAAGAAAAACAAAAAACTTTTTTAGTTGTATATTACTACTCTGGTTAATATACAACTTTGTTTGGACGGATTAGATAAGGGGTGATTGGAATCACCGGACTGTTAGTTCTAGAATATATTGTTTCCGGACTATTTGGTTGGACTGAATTTGTATTCCATGTTTGTTTAGTCATGTGATTAGTTGTCTAGAAATGACTATTTAGTTGGATAAGATATGAATCCTATATTTGTTTGATATATTATGAAGAAGAATAAATGTTCAAATGACTATTTTACCTTTTCAATTATTTACTAAGTAATAGCAATATTTAACATATCTTTAATATTTTAATTATTTTTAACTAGATTAAATAAAAATTTATTTTATTTTATTTTTTACACAATTAAATAAATTTATTTTTTAAAAATTAAATAAACAAAATATCAATAAAAATATATGTTATTTTTTTAATTAAAATTTTAAATAAATTTATTTGAAAAAAATAATAATATTTAAATAAAAATATCTATTAAAATTTAAATAATGAAATTAAATAAAATATAAACAAAATTTTAAAATAAAACATCAATAAAATATCTATTAAAAAATTAAATAAATAAAATATCAATAAAAATTAAATAAAATTATTTAATTTTTAAATTGAGACATTAAAAATTATTAAATTTTACTAAATATAATATATAATTAAATAATAGATGGTCAAAATAGTCATTTCACCACCTAATCCCATATCCCTTTATCTCTCTATTTGTGTCTCACTCCCTATGGGACACAATAGTCCAATGGATTTGAGACTAATAGTCTGGTGCAAAAATTTTGAACCAAATAATGGGCTATTAATCCAGATAAACTAATAGTCCAATCTCATCTCTCAATCTCTCAAAACAATCACCACCAAAGAGGAAGCAAAATGAAAAAGCAAATTTTGAAAAGCTAACTAATATTTTTTGTTTTATTTATTTACCTCAACTGTGTGAAGACAAAAACAAAACAAAGAAAAAAACGAAATGTTTTTCATCTTTAGTAAATTTTTTAAAATTTCTAGATATTTCAATTTTTAAGTGCATCTAAACAAGAAAAAGGAAATTTTGACTAAACTATGAAAAAACTTCACCAAAGAAAAAAAAACAAAACAAAACAAAAACACTAAAATATTTTTCAAAAACTAAACCAAAGAGGTTAAAAAAAAGCGTTTTGACTTTTTTATATCATATCATCTCTCTACTTTTTTTTGTTTATTTCAAAAAAAAAATTAATTGATATTAACCTACTTTCCAAAATAACCCAAGTAGATTCAGGTGAATCTAACTTTCAGAATTTGGACTTGATAAAACTAAAATTGTCTGAGAAATGAGGGAGGATCCCTGCAAAGATATCAAAACCCTTGAAATTCATAAATATATCGAATGCACAAAAAATAAATAAATAAACAACAAAATAAAAAGAATTCCTTCCTTTTTTTTGGAAAGAGAAAACAAAACACAAAGCATAAGTTCAAAAACACAATTGTTTTAATTGTGAAACAATTTTCAAACATTCAAAATTGTTTCTAAAAATAGAGTTGTTTTATCCAAGAAACAATTTTTTTAGAACAATTCACCAAACAAGTTGCATTTGCAGAAAAATAAAAACAAAAAGAGGAAAACAAAAACACAACCAAACAAAAACTATATAACTCACAAGTCATGCAATATAAAGGATTAACATTTTTTATTCACTGCACTGTATTAACCACTGACTTGCAATAAATAGAATAGATTAAAATATTAAAATACAAACAATAAAATTAAAAAAAAAAAAAAAAAAAAAACTACTCGGGGTTAAATAAATAACTGCAAGTTATCTTACCTGATACAAGACAAAGGCAAAAAAAACAAAAGAGTATCTCTCAAATAATCTAAAATAATCTTACAATAACAAATGCCACAAAAGAACAAGTATTATGGAGGAATAATGTAGAGCTTTTCCGTCATATACAACTCTGATTAACCTATAATTTGCTAAATCCCAAGAAAGGATTTATTTAGTTTTCATTGACATGTTACATTCCCCGTATTTTTCAAAGAGCAATAATGAGAGTGTGCATGAAAAGTTACAAATACAAATCCGATAAACATCATGCGCCCAAATGACAAACACTGCCTCTTATCAATTGAGTTGGATCAGGGGTGAGCGTGGTATGAGAGACGGCTTTGATTCCTTAACTTCAAATGATTCGTAAGAATGGTTTTCTCTAAATTCCTCTAGCAGGGCCTCCATTGGCATGGCTCGAAGAGATTCAATTGTCCCCTTACATGGAATGTCTGGCTCACATCTGATTGGTGTTGTGCCAGTTGGCTCATAATCCTGGCCATTATTATTTTAAAGCAATCAGGATATAAACCCAACTATTTATTGAATAGAATAACAGAAAATATACATGAATTCACAAAAAGTATACATTTACAGAATAATCAGGGAGGACAGTTCTTTGCTTGTAAAGAAAAGCATGTTCTCAAACTTATCCAGAAAAGAAAATTGTTAAAATTCACCTACTCTCCACCTACTTCACCCACTTAAACCTACTCCACTAAACCTAACCCACTACACCACTACCACCTCACCTACTCCACTAAACCCACTACACCACTACCACCTCCACTTCACCTACTCCTTGAGTTTGCGGGGGCTGTTAAAATTCACCTACTACACACCTACCACTACCATTCACCTACTACACACCTACCACTACCACCTACTACACACTCACCTATTCTCTTCCCACATCCTCTCTTCTATATATAGGAATCATTGTAATATATCAAAATATCAATCAATAATACAATTCTCTATTTCTCTTTATACATTAAATTTCTACATGGTATCAGAGCAAGTTTAGAACCTAATATTTTTGCTTCACCGGCGGGCGGCAACTTCGCCTTGGCTGCCCCCCGGACCTCAACCTAGTCCGCTAAAATTTTCTACACATACCTTCATCCATCTTCACCACCACCACAAATGCCCACAACATCACAGCTCTCCTCTCCTCTTGTTTCTCTTTGGTTTTGGAGGCTGTAGAACCACCTTGATTGCAACATCAAAGACAGCCTTCACATTCTGCTGGGTCTTGGAGCTGCACTCTACATATGCCACGGCTCCTATTTGCTTCTTTAGTTCTTCACCCTGTGCTGTAGAAATTATACATGCACCGGGATAATCAATCTGGAACTGCTTATCTTCGCTCCAGATCTGATCCTAACACCAGACACAACACAGGGTTAGGGGTTTTATTTACATATTCAGATCAGATTATGGGCCGTGGGGTCAGCAGTGGTGGGGGACAGAGTTCCCTTGATTACCTTTTCGGAAGTGGAGAGGCTCCAAAAGCCACCCCAAAGAATGCTGAAGCTCCTCAGAGTTCAGTACAGGTTGCAAGCAATGAACCTTCTCAGAAGCCTGCGGCTGCTGCACCACCAGTAGATGTTACTAAGCAGATTCCAGCTGGTATTCAAGGAAATGCTGGAAACAACTATTTTCGAGCTGATGGACAGAATACTGGAAACTTCATCACGGATCGGCCTTCAACTAAAGTCCACGCGGCCCCAGGTGGCGGATCTTCCCTGGGCTACCTGTTTGGCAGTGGCAGCAGCAACTAATGCTGTGTTCTTTGAAAGGATAAAACAATTGCTTACTGTTTGTTTGTCCAGGTTCCATTTTAAGTTTGGGGAAAACAATATTTTCTTATTCTTGTCACTGCAGACATCTGAGTTGCATGTAAACACTCTCTCTCCTCACTTTGCATCCACCTGAAAAGTTACAAATACAAATCCGATAAACATCATGCGCCCAAATGACAAACACTGCCTCTTATCAATTGAGTTGGATCAGGGGTGAGCGTGGTATGAGAGACGGCTTTGATTCCTTAACTTCAAATGATTCGTAAGAATGGTTTTCTCTAAATTCCTCTAGCAGGGCCTCCATTGGCATGGCTCGAAGAGATTCAATTGTCCCCTTACATGGAATGTCTGGCTCACATCTGATTGGTGTTGTGCCAGTTGGCTCATAATCCTGGCCATTATAATTTTAAAGCAATCAGGATATAAACCCAACTATTTATTGAATAGAATAACAGAAAATATACATGAATTCACAAAAAGTTTACATTTACAGAATAATCAGGGAGGACAGTTCTTTGCTTGTAAAGAAAAGCATGTTCTCAAACTTATCCAGAAAAGAAAATGAATGAAATAATCCAGATAATAATGTTAGTTCTTAAATGCATATCTTAGTTTTTTTAAGTTCAACATTTCGGCCAGTAATGCTTGGTTAAAATAAGCAGGCATAGTCAGGCCAGACCCATCACAAGAATTAAAAACAAAAAGAAATTTGGTTGCAATAGACGGTCAAAAAACATATTGTCATGTCAAAATACATATGTTTGGATATTGTGTATATATGGAGAGAGACAAACATATTGTTCTTTTATTTAAGATAACTCAATCCTTTCATTTACTATTGTCATTTCAAAGACATAGTCTGCAGCCGCAGTGAAGTGTAGAGATGCGAAGGCAATGGTTTTTAGGTGCTAAACCTTAAATTTCATGATGATGCATTAACAGTAATATAAATTCTGGTTGGCATTGGACCAATGTTTTTGGTTAAAAGTGCATTAGTGCACGTTCAAGAAAGGAGGCCAACTACACATCTCTGATGCAATTCAATAGTCTTGGGATCATGATGAGTGAGATGAAAAATTAGCATACCATATATTTCTGCTGGAAGGTATCCACTGCTTTTTGTTCAATAGAAGTTGATTGGACAGAGTGATCCACCCTGAGAACCTCAAGAATATTTGCATGAGCCTCGACTGTGGCCAAAATACCACTTATGGATCCACGTTCTTGCTCTGATACACCTGCAGAAAGTTTCAGAAGCAAATCACCAAACATAGAACAACATTCATAATTCATTTAAATGACATTAGTAATTCATGACACTTTTTTTATGTATAAGTCTGTTCTACTTAAAATCAGAGTCATTGATACTTCTGCACAGGACAACCACGTCAACATGTATCCAATGCTGCTTTACAAACTTAAAAATGTGCACCTAAGATTAGACAGCCAGAACCATTTCACATGACTTGCAAGTTCCATCATCTATAACCCTTGGCAAATCTCCTTCCCATAGATGTGTTCATTTCTTCTTATTTCCATAGATGCATAAATTTCTTAATCTATCTCTATTGCCACTCATCTAACTACACATTCTAATGCCAGCCAAACTCATTTCTTTGAGAATGTGTAGTTTTTTCCCCAAATTTTCAACCACAAACAAAAGCTGCCCTCCAGACCAAAAGAAAGAAAGTTATGAAAAATCTAGAAATCCGGTAGATATTGATTTGTGATTATGTATCAATTTTAAGCAATAAAACAATCCCAATCAAACAATCAAGACAAACCGATACAACGATTTTAACGTGGAAAAACCACAATTGGAGCACCTCCAATTGTGATAAAAAAAGCCACGGGCAACAACTACAAAACAATTCGCTAAGAAAATATAAAGGAATTACACAGGTATACTCTCAATTACCTAGCGAATCCATGCCCGAATTGAACCAACCCCTATATGCCTCTTCCAGCCCCGTCTTCACCTCAGAATTGTCTTAACGATGAGCCACTCCAGAATCCACCAAAGCTTCAGGCTCAAATTCTTCAGAATCTACCGAAGAACAACTCTCTCTTTTGTATAGAATGAACAAACAATCCTTTGATGTATCCTCCTTAAGCCATGAGTTGAATACTCAATGAAACATCAAAGAAAACTAGCAAAATAGCCCCAGGTATAAACCTTAGAACCCAAGAAAGAAAGTGATGCCACATGTGAATGTGAGAATATGTGTTCTCCTAGGATTAGGAATAAGTGTCCTATATCTATTAGACTTCTATATATCTCAGTAATGTATTCATGTAGGATTAGGAATTAGTGGTACTCTATATAAATGATGTATGTATTCTTTGTTCAATAGAATTCAAGACTAATATACAGTTTTATTCAGAAAACTTATATGGTATCAGAGCAGGTTGAGAAACCCTAGCACCGTAGGTCTCTCTCCTTCTCTCAAACCTGATTGTTGATCGAAGCCCTTTGCTTCATCAATCGTCAGTCGTGAATCTTCTCCTTGGCACAGTCTGGTTCGCGATTTCTCTCTCTCTCTCTCTCTCTCTCTCTCTCTCTCTCTGCCCTGGTTGTCGGACGAAGCTTCTTACTTCGTCGATCATCTGGTTGGGTCTGATTCATCTGATTCCTTGCAACTGTTCGACTCATCTATTCGACTCGCCGTCTTCTCTCTCTCATTCTGGTTCGCATGTGTCGGCTTCAGGTTCTCACTCCTCTAGTTTGGTTCTCTTGGCTCCGTCTGTTAACTGAGTTAGTGACACATCTCAGTTTGGTTCTTCAGTGTTTCCTTTATTATACTTTGACCTAACTATTCTACAACTTTGCTTTATAATGGACCCCAAAATTCAAGCCATTAAATGTAAACTCACTAGTGGCAATTATGCCTATTGGGCCAATGTTATGAAGAGTTTTCTTCTTGGTCAAAAAAAATGGGGCTATGTTTCTGGTTCTACTCCTCGTCCATCGGACCCGAAGGTAGAAGGGTATCTGTCTTCCTATGATACTTGGGATTGTGATAATGCCCAAGTTCTTACCTGGTTTCATAACTCTGTGGATGACCGTATTGGAATGATGTTTTCCAAGTACAGTACTACCAAGGAAGTGTGGGATTATTTACTCGGTGTTTATCAGCAGTCCAACTTTGCCAAGCGGTATGAGTTGGAAATAACTATTCAGAGTGCTCGTCAGCGGGATCAAACTATTCAGGACTTTTATATTGAGATGACAGGTCTCTGGGATCAGTTGGCTCTTATGGAACCACCTAGTCTCAAGATACTAGACGCTTATATTGAGTTTCTGGAACAGGGTCGTTTAGTCCAGTTCTTAACAGCTCTCTCCCCTCAGTATGAGGCTATTCGAGGTGGCATCCTTCACCGATCTCCTCTTCCCTCTTTGGATGCTATTGTTCGTGAACTCCTCTCCGAGGAAACCCGTCTTAAGACGGCCAGTTAGACTTTGCCTCTTTCTGTGTTCTTGGCTCCTGCCAAGCCACCCTTGTTATTAACCCCTTCTCCTCATCAACTTCAGGCCACTGCGAAACCCAAGCGAGGACCATTAGGGCCAGATGAGTGTGCTTTCTGCCATCAGAGGGGTCATTGGAAGAACAATTGTCCCAAAAAGGGACGTCAGCCTGCTCCGTCTTCTCAGACACAATTCCGCGGTCCTACTTCGAGTACTTTCCGACCTCCTGCTGCTTACACTGCATCTACTCCGGCTCCCGATCCGGACTTGGCTTCCCTGAGTGCTCAGGTTGCACAACTTCAGCATATCCTGTCCACCTCTCAGTCATCCCCATCTGCCTCCGCTCTTACCTCTCTTCATTCAGGTTTGCTTGGGTCCTCTTCAAGTATCCCTTCTTCTGTCTGGATTTTTGATTCTGGTGCCTCTCATCATATGACTCCTCACCTTTCCTTACTTCAAAATTGTATTCCCCCACCCGTTCCTATTACTATTAATACTGCTAATAGATCTGGTATGTCTATTTTATCTGTTGGGTCTGTCATACCCTCTGCCATGTCTGCTGTTACTATTCTTTCTGTTTTTTATGTTCCTTAATTATCTGTCAATTTGTTATCTATCAGTCAACTTGATGCGTCTGGTTTTGATGTTATCTTTTCCTCTTCTGTCTGTTGTATGCAGGATCGGGTGTCCAAGAAGCAGATTGGGACCGGCCGTAGAATTGGAGATCTTTATGTGGTTGAAAGCTTGCATCTCCCCTTATCCACCTTTCCAGCTGCACTTTCCTCGTTTCAATTAGATTCTCAGTCGAGTCAGTTTTACTTATGGCATTCTCGTCTCGGTCATTTGTCTGTTGACCGCTTACGATCTTTAGCTCAGTCAGGATTGTTGGGTAAAGTTTCTCCTAGTCAAATTGATGAATGTCGAGGGTGTAAACTTGCCAAAATGTCAGCTTTACCTTTTAATAAAAGTGCATCTATTTCTGTTTCTCCTTTCTCTCTTGTGCATACTGATGTTTGAGGACCCTCTCCTATTCTTACTAAAGGGGGTTCAGTATACTATGTGTCTTTTGTTGATGATTGCACCCGTTACACGTGGGTTTGTCTTATGACTCATAAGTCTGACTTCTACCAGATATATCGTACTTTCCAGTCCATAGTCACTACACAGTTTGGATCTACTATTAAAATGTTACGGTCTGACTTGGGTGGGGAATACTTTAAAATTGAATTCTGTGAATATTTGGCCAACTTGGGTACCATTCACCAAACTTCTTGTACTGATACACTTGCCCAAAATGGCCGAGCTGAGCGTAAACACCGTCATCTTCTTGAGACAACTAGGTCTCTTCTTCTCTCTGCCTCCGTTCCAGCTCCGTTTTGGGGTGAGGCAGTTCTTACTGCTGCTTTTCTTCTCAACCGTATGCCTACCCCCCTTCTTTCTGGTCGGTCTCCTTATGAGGCTCTCTTTTCTCAACTTCCTAATTACTCCCTCCTTCGTGTGTTTGGATCTGCGTGTTTTGTCCTTTTACCCCGTAAAGATAGGACTAAACTTAGTGTCTGGTCTGTCCTATGTGTTTTTTTGGGATATAGTCTCACTCAGAAAGGTTATCGCTGTTA